TTTGTTTATTCACATATAACACAAACACACACCCACACACCCACACACATATTTCAAAGTTATTTATAGTACCATGTGAGCAGAATGCGTATGTTATGCTAATAGAGCAGGATGTGTGATTGAAGCTCAATGTGACAACACACTTTGGGGGAATTCTAGTATATTGGAGGAATCTGTTTCCAGAGTAGCCACTACTGTGTAAGCTGTGTGCTTGGTGGTGTTCATGTTTGAGCTTTATTAGACACATGATTGTATTTTATTAATTAAATTCCATGCTTCGAAGATTTGCTGTTTTTGGCAATTTTTGGTCGACTCAGAATTCAAGTGCAAATTTCCTTGAAGTTATGCTTCCGGCAGTTTTGTTTGTGTTCAGGTAAGTTTGGAGTTTTCTTGAATGGTTTGGGTGATGGATGGTGGAACTTCAGATCTTAACTTTTGAAGGCCTATTCTGAAACTTGTGGGTTTGGTTGAAACTAAATGATTCAAGTGGTAGGTTAACTACTTGTGTTATGCGTGCTAGCTGTGTCACTGTCTAGCTATGGTTAGAAGTTTTCTAAGTCTCTCTTGTACAACAATGCATTTGGCAGGTTCTATGAATGCCGTTGGCATGATACAGGCATTGGTTGTTGCAAACACAATTTAAGCAGGCATATCCTCTGTTGGTTGAGTACATAGTCTGATGGGCATGATGCTTCCCTATTGCATATTGTTTGTCATGACACTGGATGGCCTCTGCTTCTTTTTTCTGTTTTTCTTTTGTTTTGGTCTGGGGTGGGGATTGGGAGAGGTTGGGGCAAGGTTTGCTGGTTGTGTATATGTCGGGGCCAAGGCCTTGTACGCTTTTAACCAAATGGACTAAGTTTCATGGCAAAGGAGTTTTGATATAATTCCTTCAGTTTCACGTTGCTGATGGTATGTATTTGTGTTATGTTTATGTTTTCTTCTTTTTAAAGGGTAGAGAAGTATGTGTTTTGAAGGCAGTACTTGATATGAAATGCATCAAGAAAATGCCTGCCACCAGGTTACCAACTTTGATATGAACCCATTTTTCAGATGAGAATCTATAATTCAGATTTCAAAATATTATAAAGTGGTGTGCCGGCACAAGAGGCGATGAAGCCTCACCTCGTCCGTTACGTCGGCACAAGCCAACAAACAGAAACTTTTGGAACACTTTTGCAACTTGCAGAGGTGAAAGGGGCTGTCGATGATTTGCTTTGATTTCTTTTGATAGAATTAACATTTTAAGTTGTTACTAGGGTTCTTTGTCATAAAAATAATGTAAGTAATGATTGCCTTGATTTCTCATGAAACATTTTTCACTTCAATTTTCCCACAAGGCTTCTCATGCATTGACTTACTAAACATGAAAAAGAAAATAATTTCCTGAGAACCAAACGACTCCTTACACTGTCGGCAATGCGTAGACATTACTTGCGCTAAATGAGCACGTTACTTGTGATAAGGTTAAAAACTGGTTGATCGACTATATGAAATCATATGGCCGACATGAAACGTGGTGAGGCCATGAAAAAATGATAAATGCAAAAGCACCTAGTCATGTAGCATAAGATGAGATGATAGCAAGCATTTTGGGGTAAAGACAATCTAAGTATTGGGACCACACAATCTGAAACTCAAATTGGTTGGGATGCGGCCAAATGTAGTAAATTAACTCACCTCACCTAACTCATTCCTACCCGACGAGGGTACACCTTCTGAATCTGAAGAGAGCCATGCCATACCATTCATTCAATTTAAGCAATCAAATCAAATCAAAAGCTACGCCGTGACTTGAATGGCTTCTCAGAAAAGCAGCAAGAAAGTGAACATTAGGTGATGGAGATGTATCTTTCGGCTTAATATCTCTTTGGTTTATGCACCCATGCAAAGTCACATCCAAACTCTTTGGTTTATGCACCCATGAAAAACTCACCCTCAATTACTCATTTTCCCCACAGATTCCTGTCCATTGGATAAAGGACTTTGATCGGACAGTTCTGGATCTGCTTCTGCTTTGTACAAAAGCTGAGATCATTAATACTTACTTAGACTGTTATGGAAACAAGAGAAAACAGCTTTTGCCAAATTCTAGCATTGCCCATTTATTTATGAGCAAGCTAGGCACTCTCTCTCTCTCCCTCTGTCTATATATCCATGCTCATTCGTCCAGACACTGCCTAGAGGGCTTTGCAGTCCAATCGGCTTCTTCTTCTCTGCTTGTTTCCAAAGCTTTCCTTCCCTCTTTGGGACAATGCCTTGTTTTCTTGTTGAAATAAGTAGAGGGTTGAGTTTCCATTTTTCTACAAGGGAATGTTGTCTTTCTTCTTTGGGAAAATTCCTACCCTGCCTCCACTTTTTTTTTTCTATCTTTTTTTTTTCTTGGTTTCTTACACATTTGGATCTGTTTGATTGGTTGGTCATATTACTATGCGACTTTATTTTTATATTATGTTATGGTTTTTTCATCTAAAGTCTTGCATGTGGAAATGAGGCGTGTGGTGCAGCCAAGGATGACTTGCCGGCAATACTTAGCTTGTCATTCTCCAATGCATGCATGTTGTTCTGAGAATGAGTTGATCGGCAAGTCGTCTCTGGCTACATTATTGCCTCCTTTTCTCATGCTAGATTTATGATGATGGTTGCAGCCATGCAAATTGCAATAGAGAAGTGGTCGTGATGGGTCCAAAATTAAAGGCTTATTGCTGGCTCATTTCTTTCTTTATCCCCACACACACACACACACACACATATATATATTTCGATCAGACTATTTCATCTAATGTATCACATAATTTGCAGATGGAAAGCGCCAGTAAATTTGTTGCAGGCTTTCAACTTGTATCAGCTGCTGGCTGCCTAAAACTGCTTAATCAGCCAGCCTCGTGAAACTTGATGCTTGTTTCTCATGGAAATATCACAAGGGGTGGAAAGTTGAAGGCACACGGTCCTTTCCTTGTCTGCTAACTTGATATTTTGTGTATACAGGACATCATGCCTGACCCTGCAATTTTGTATACGCAAGTTGCAAACTTTGCACCATTTTGACTATGGTTAACTTATCACTACGGTGTTTGGGGTAGTTGGGAACTTGGGATTGGATTAATTTTTATCACAACATATGCTGTGTGTCATTATATATAATATGTATCAAATTTACTCATTACATGATTTTGTTAAATTAAATTTAGAATTAATTCATGGAAATTATTTTTTGAGAGTTTGATAGCTCAAACACTACACGGATGTTAGGAAACCCAGAATCCTCCTGAGTCCTTTGCCTAGAGATTATTACAGGCTATGTGGGGTCATCAATCTATACCGAAATTTGGACATAAGATTGTGTATTTGTCCTCACAAAAATTGTGTGAGGCCCACTCACAGTAGTAGCTATCATAAATTCACTATTGTGAGAGGCAGGGGAACCCACACATAAGATTGTTTCTCCGAAATTTGGTCCAAAATGGTACCACAAATGGTTGGTGATCAGGGGGCAGAGTCAGACTTTGTATTTGGAAGGGTAAACGTAAAAGTTTCTTACACATTTGGATCTGTTTGATTGGTTGGTCATATTACTATGCGACTTTATTTTTATATTATGTTATGGTTTTTTCATCTAAAGTCTTGCATGTGGAAATGAGGCGTGTGGTGCAGCCAAGGATGACTTGCCGGCAATACTTAGCTTGTCATTCTCCAATGCATGCATGTTGTTCTGAGAATGAGTTGATCGGCAAGTCGTCTCTGGCTACATTATTGCCTCCTTTTCTCATGCTAGATTTATGATGATGGTTGCAGCCATGCAAATTGCAATAGAGAAGTGGTCGTGATGGGTCCAAAATTAAAGGCTTATTGCTGGCTCATTTCTTTCTTTATCCCCACACACACACACACACACACATATATATATTTCGATCAGACTATTTCATCTAATGTATCACATAATTTGCAGATGGAAAGCGCCAGTAAATTTGTTGCAGGCTTTCAACTTGTATCAGCTGCTGGCTGCCTAAAACTGCTTAATCAGCCAGCCTCGTGAAACTTGATGCTTGTTTCTCATGGAAATATCACAAGGGGTGGAAAGTTGAAGGCACACGGTCCTTTCCTTGTCTGCTAACTTGATATTTTGTGTATACAGGACATCATGCCTGACCCTGCAATTTTGTATACGCAAGTTGCAAACTTTGCACCATTTTGACTATGGTTAACTTATCACTACGGTGTTTGGGGTAGTTGGGAACTTGGGATTGGATTAATTTTTATCACAACATATGCTGTGTGTCATTATATATAATATGTATCAAATTTACTCATTACATGATTTTGTTAAATTAAATTTAGAATTAATTCATGGAAATTATTTTTTGAGAGTTTGATAGCTCAAACACTACACGGATGTTAGGAAACCCAGAATCCTCCTGAGTCCTTTGCCTAGAGATTATTACAGGCTATGTGGGGTCATCAATCTATACCGAAATTTGGACATAAGATTGTGTATTTGTCCTCACAAAAATTGTGTGAGGCCCACTCACAGTAGTAGCTATCATAAATTCACTATTGTGAGAGGCAGGGGAACCCACACATAAGATTGTTTCTCCGAAATTTGGTCCAAAATGGTACCACAAATGGTTGGTGATCAGGGGGCAGAGTCAGACTTTGTATTTGGAAGGGTAAACGTAAAATTTCAAGTTTAATTACATACATGTTTTTGGCTTATTGAGTAAACTATTACCAATAACACTACTAGATTGAAATGAGTAGTTTTCTTTCAGAAATGTAATATGATTGTACTACTATATTCATATTGAATTGAGAAATATTGAGTAGTAAGAGGACCACAGACTTAAATGTAACAATTTTTCTTTATATTTAACAGAATTAAATAAAGTGGGGTGCCAAGGCCACTTCTCGCGTTGGCATACCTATGCCTTTATATGTGAAAAAAAAACTTATTTGTAATGGGAATAACAAAAAGTGTTATTCTTGCTACATAAGAGTTTGTCCGTCGTAGACTGAAAAACTTGGATGATTTCTAAGGCAACACGCAAAACATTATTTCTGCCTCGGTCAACATATCTAGAATAGTCATTTAATCTCTATTGCCCACATTTTTCACACCAAGGAAAGTTCTTATGAGCAGCTCAGATTTGCTTCATTTTCGAGATACAGGCAACAAAATAACAAATAAAATTACCTACCGAATTGAAACAATAACAAATTAACACCGCCCATAATAAGCAACCAAATACGTTTCCATCAGGAGTTGTACATAAGAAAAAGTGCTAGCAAAATCACATAATTCAACGAGAAACCCGAAAAAGGGGAAGCAAAGGAGGAAACAGAGGAGGGGAGAACTACAGAGATATAAAACCTTCCTTGATCAGCAAACCAAACATGAGAACAAGGAGACCGATTGCGATGGACTGATTTGGAGACACCAGAGTCTGAGAATAAGCAAACAAGGTCATTGCTGCACCCACCAATCCAATCACAAACGCACTCAAGTTCCGATTCATTTTTCTTTGTGAAAGAGGAAAACTTCAATGCTGATGATATTTGAGGATTTTGGTGGATGATGAGATGAGAACACCAGACAGGGCAACTATCTGTCTGTGTTTGGAGCTTAAGCCAATTAAAGGTCAACTCTTTTTGTCTCGCGTCAAAAGGGCAATGCCCCTTTGGTGTCCTCAAAGAGTGCTCCAAGTCAACCCTTTAGGTGGGATCATGGACAATTAATCACTTAGATTAGATGGCGATTTAATTACATTTAGACTTTTTTTCCTTCAATAAAAGCGATATTTTGGGACGGGATTCAAACACAGCACATCAAGCATGAGTTTGCTATTAACCACTTGAGCTATAAGCGTCTTACTACAAAACAAGGTTATTTGGTTTTCGGTTAAATGCAAAACGACTTCGTCTGGTGCTGTTTTGAGTTCTGCTGAGAACCGCCATGACCCAAAGCATCTACAATGCATGCAGGCCTTACAAAAATGATAGGCCCAATCTGTTGCAGATGATCGAAAAGCCCAAAGTATTGCAACCTGTTGAAAAGCCCAACATACAAATAGTGCCCTTTGTTGGGTTTGGGTTGGGGGAGGTCGTTAATAGAAGCGAAACGACGTTATCTGCTGTCGTTCCCTAGCTCCCTCCAGAGACTGAGAGACACAAGTCAGTCAGACACCAACCTCAAACTCTGCCGAGTGCTGAGAGCTCCAAGAGCCAAAGCACATAACTATATGTAGGCCTTACATAGATGAGACGGAGCACCACCACCACCTCCTCCACCATAGCTTTCTGCAATGGAATGCTCCAAGTTTTATATGCTTTCTCACCTCACAAGCCCTATATCAAACAGGTTCGTTCTTGTCACTCTCTGTTCTCACTTTTCAACGCTAAATACCAGTTCTCAACCACCACTTGTCTCGCATACCCTTCATTCCCCTCGTCTTCAACGACCACAAATAACAATACCCAGATAGATTTATCTTCTATTTGTTGCCCTGGTATTGCCCAATCTGTCATTTCTAGATGTTCCCACTTTTCTGAGAAGAATAAAGGCAAAGGCTTTGCTAACGCGTCTCTAAAAGACCTTCTTTTGGAGATTTCGGATATAGTACCTGAATACACGCGTAGACTTAGGCGGGTTTCGGAGGTGAAACCTGACGATGTGCTTGGATTATTACTCGGTTTTCAATTTCAGTGTGGGAAAGTTGGATTTGAAGCTAGCAAGGTTGAGTCTTTGTGGGAAATTTTCAAACGGGTTAATGGACAAAGTAAGGGTTTTAAGCATCTCTCTCAGTCATGCGAGGTCATGGTCTCGATGCTTGTCCGAGTGGGGTTGCTTGGAGAAGTTGAATTCTTGCTTTCCACAATGGAAAGCCAAGGAATTTTATTGGATAGTCATGAAGTTTTCAGTAATTTGATTGAAGGGTGTGTTGATGCTGGTGAATCAGAAATGGCCATTTCTATGTATGATCGAATGAGGCACCGTTTACTCCCTTCATTATCGTGTTATGATGCTCTTCTTGATCATTTGGTTAAAATGAAGAAGACCCATTTGGCTTTTCGAGTTTGTTGGGATATGACAGAAATGGGTATTGATTTGAGAGGTGTGAAGAAGGCCACAATTGAGGATGTCATTGGACTCCTTTGCAAGGATGGAAAGCTTCTGGAAGCAAGAAATCTCGTCAAGAAGACTATGGCTTTTGAACTCAAGCCTAATAACTTAGTTCTATATGAAATTGCTTATGGTTATTGTGAGAAGAAGGACTTTGATGATTTGCTGAGTTTCTGTGCTGAAATCAAGCGCGCACCTGATGTTCTGGCTGGGAATAGGATTATGCATTCTCAATGTAGCAATTTTGGAACAGGAAAGGCAGAACTGTTTTTGCGAGAATTGGAACATTTAGGCTTCAATCCTGATGAGATAACCTTTGGTATCATGATTGGCTGGAGTTGTCGTGAACGAAAACTAAAAAATGCCTTCATTTACCTGTCACAGATGTTGTCAAGACGACTAAAGCCCCATAAATGTACCTATAATGCTCTTATCAGTGCTGTCTTTATGGGGGATATGTGGAAGCATGCCCAGAAAATCTTTGATGAGATGATGGATAGGGGGACAATACCTGATTTATCGACGTTCAGAATTCTCTTAGCAGGCTATTGTAAAGCTAGACAATTTGATGAAGCAAAAAGGATAGTTTTTGACATGGCAAGCCATGGACTAATTCAAAACTCTTCAGCAGAGGATTCACTATCCAAAGCATTTATAATTTTGGGTTTCAATCCATTATCTGTGAGGTTGAAGAGAGACAATGATTTGGGGTTTTCTTCAACTGAGTTTTATGATAATCTTGGGAATGGACTTTATTTGGATACAGACCTGGATGAGTATGAGAAGAGAGTCACTTGGATCCTAGAAGATTGCATGGTACCTGATTATAACTCACTTATGATGAAAGAATGCACTCTTGGAAATTTGAAGGGTGCATTGATGTTGGTAGATGAAATGGTTCGGTGGGGGCAAGACTTGTCATCTTCTACCTTCTCTGCCTTAATGAAAGGGTTCTCTGCATCCCCTTCACATATTAAGGGTATCACCGCTGTTGTGCATAAAAAGTCTCACTTAGTAGATCAGTTAGACCAGGAAACTTTAAATTTGCTCGTCCAAGCATACATGAAGAAAGGGTTGATATGTGATGGAAGGATAATATTGGATGGAATGTTCCGAAGGCATCTGAAAATCAAGAATGAGACATACACTGCTGTAATTAAAGGTTTGTGCAAGAGAGGAAATTTGAAGGAGCTGCATGCTTGTTGGAATAATGCTCAACAGAACAGATGGTTACCCGGGTTGGAAGATTGTAAAGCGATAATGGAATGTCTTTGCAAGAAAGAGATGCTAAGGGAAGCACTACAGCTTCTTGAAAGCATGCTGATATCCCTGCCTCACCTACGGTTAAATATATGCCATATGTTCCTTGAAAAGCTTTCTGTTACAGGCTTTACAAGAATTGCGCACATATTGTTGGAAGAACTTGAACAGCGTGGTGGCATCCTGGATCATGTGGCTTATAGCTATCTTATAAGAGGATTGTGTAAGGAGAAAACTTTTCCTGTAGCATTTGCGATAATGGAAAATATGCTGGCTAGAAATTTGGCACCATGGTTGGACGATTCTGTCCTATTAATTTCTCATTTGTGTAGGGCTGGTAGATATGAAAAGGCCATTTATTTGAAAGAGATTGGTCTAAGAGAAAAGCCTTTGTCTTCACTTTCCATTGATCGTGCATTAATTGAAGGCTGTTGTATGGCAGGGAAGGTTGGAGAGGCAACCACTATATTACGGAATATGTTGTTAAAGGGGATACTTCCTGATACTGAAACTTACAATATTTTGGTTCAGGGTCATTGCAAGGTTAACAACTTAAAGAAAGTGAGGGAGCTACTTGGTGTCATGATAAGGAAAAACTTCAGCATTTCACTTGCAACTTTCCGCAATTTGGTGCGTTTGATGTGTGTGGAAGGTAGGGTTCTTTATGCAGTGAATCTGAAGGAGCTCATGCAGGGACAAAATGAGCCTCGTGATCTCACCATTTACAATATTCTGATTTTCTATCTTTTCCAAACTGGGAATACTTTGATTGTGAATAACGTGTTAGATCATTTGCAAGAGAAGAAATTGCTACTGAATGAAGTAACGTATAATTTTCTAGTATATGGGTTTTCTCGGTGTAAAGATGTGTCTAGTGCTGTGGAAATTCTCACTACTATGATCTCTAAGGAATTTAGGCCAAGCAACCGCAACTTGAGAATAGTTATGACCAGCCTGTGTGGGATTGGGGAGCTCGAGAAAGCCTTGGAGTTGAGTCGAGAAATGGAATCAAGAGGCTGGGTTCATGATTCAATCATTCAAAATGCCATTGTTGAGGACCTTCTTTCTCATGGTAAGCTTCAAGAAGCAGAAAAGTTTCTGGACAGGATGGTAGAGAAATGTCTAATTCCTGAGAATATCAACTATGATAATCTAATTAAACGTTTTTGCTCGTGTGGACGACTGAGCAAGGCAGTTGATCTTCTAAACATAATGTTGAAGAAAGGAAATCTTCCAGACGCTACTAGTTATGACTCTGTCATCACCTCTTGCTGTGCAGTTAATCAACTGGACCAAGCTATGGATTTTCATACTGAGATGCTGGATAGAAATCTCAAGCCAAGCATCAACACATGGGAAATTCTTGTCCACAATCTATGCGAAGATGGACAAACTGCAGAAGCAGAAAGGCTTTTGCTTTCAATGGTTTGCGTAGGTGAAACAGTGAGCAGGGAGATATATTCTTCTGTAATTAATAGGTATCGCTTAGAAAATAATCTCAGGAAGACGTCAGAGCTCATGCAAGCAATGCAACAGAGTGGTTTTGAGCCAGACTTTGAGACACACTGGTCTCTCATAAGCAATCTAAGCAATTCTAGTGACAAGGACAACGCAAACAGCAGCCGGGGTTTCCTGGGAAGGCTTCTTTCTTCAAGTGGATTTTCTCGGCAAAAGGATTCGAAGACCAAACTGGGTTAACACAGTAATCATTCATTCATTCTTTCTCTACCGACTCGTGGTTGGTTAGTTAATGTTTTTATCCACTAAGTGGCTTGTGACTTTACTTAGCCACCATCTTTAGATGCTTTGATGGTTTATAACTTAGTCTAAAATGGAATCTCAAGTCTCTTATAAGGTAGCGTAGCGTCTATGAGTGAGTTTGTCAAATCTAAAAAGAGTTGTACATACCTGTATATCTTTACCCAGCTATAAATGCAACGATGGTTTCTGGTAAAAGACATTTTATTTATCAGAAGATTAGGTCTCTTATAATAGTTCTAATATTTCGCATGGTTATAAAGGGAGGATTGTAAGAATATGGCAAGGGGTTCAACCCAAATTCTCAACAAAACTCAAAAGCTGTTCTTTTTGCCTTTGGGTTCTACTTTGTAGATGATGCGCGAGCTTCAAAAAAGCCTTTGGACAATGAAGGAGAGGCCGGAGAGAGAAATATCCTTATATGCTTTTGTTTACTGTACCAAAATGTGAATTTGCCTCGAGCTATA